GGGTGGCAGAGCACTGGAGTTGGCAAGAGGAACTCGGCAGGGTTACCTGCCTGCTCTGCTGGGCGGTGCTGGACTTGCCACTCCTTTGAGCGAGGGTGAAGGGCAGCTTTCTCACCTCCTCCTTGATATCTGCCCATTGCCAGGCAGAGGCAGCTCCCGCCCAAGGCAGGTGAGAGTCCCACGCGGAAGTCAAGTCCCCGCTCCGTTCACATGAGACCTCAGGCGAAGGAGCTGGGGAAGGAAACCACACGCTGCGGTGAAACCCCAGGAGCCTCGCAGCTTGTCCCGCCTGCAGCCTCAGCTACCCCATCTGCCCGACAGACAGCTGCTAGAGATCTGCCCGGAGGAGCAAAAGGAGAGAGGGGGGAAGAGAAAGGCTCTCTTTCTTCACCATGCAGGTAGGAAACAGAAACTGCTCAGCTATTTCCAAGTGGTTGCTTTTCAGCACCTCTGAGCCACCTGTAGCTTGGAAACGCGGGACACTCTAAGATCCTATCTCTACCACTCGTGCTTTCAGCCTTTAAAGTACTCAAAATATACCACAAAACTCCCGTTCCTCTTTCCAGCGAGCAATCTCATTCCTGCCATGAACGTGCAATGGGGAAAGTGGTGTGTGCTGCTTGCTCTGCAGTTTCCTGCAGCCGGGGAGCGAGGCAGAGCTGAGCCCCACGCACCACCCCAAGGTGCAGCGGGGTCAGGCCAGGGGGGTCACGCATGGCCCCAGTGTTGGTACCAGAGTTCAGAGGTGCCGGAGCACAGATCAGAGAAGGATGGTTTGGACTGAGACCAGATCTTCTGCTTGTATAAACCCAGGCACTGCGTACAGCAGCGGAGGTGACAGCCCCAGATGTTTCAGGAGCAGCTGAAATAAAGCAAGGGGAGAGGGGGAGCTGTGAAGTTTTGTTTCTCTAGCTTGAAAGAAAAGATGCGGTTTTCTTTTATTCAAAAAGCCAGGCAAACTCTCTCAGATTGGGGCAGCTAGTAAATGTACAGGTGTACCATCTGCCTGTTCAGTTAAGGATTGTCACATTTCTTAGGAAACTGTGAGGTAAGTTGGAAGTGCTCTAAGGGAAGCGTTTGTAAGAAACATCCCTGAGATAAGAGCAATTTGATCATCTCAGTGTGGGTGATGGGAACCACCCAAACCCTCACCAATCCACAATTAGAAAGGAAAACAAGGATACCAGATCCTATCCAGGTCCTTTGCCCGAGTTACTCACACAGGCGACTACACCCCCAGCCCAAGGGTGCCTGTTACCATTTCTCTGAAGGATCCAGTAACCTCGCACAGGGCAGAGGGTTACCTGGCTGCCACAAGGGGACAAGGACCCACTGATACAGCTGGAGAGCAACCAGGCACACAAACCCTTTTTAGCATAGAAATTCCTGCTTCTCATTGTGCAGGTTACTTCTCCTACACCTTTGCCCAGCGGGCCTCTAACCCTGCTCCAACCACGGGGCAGGAAAGAGCAAAACAGGCACCGTCCTCCTTGATAGCAGGGATTAGAGTCCAGGGCTTATACAACTGCTTCAGAGCCGAGGTGGCCTTGCCTGCACACAGGGCCGATCTGACTGCCTTGTGCTGCCAGAGCAAAGCAGCCATAATCTGACAGTGTTGCTAGTTCCCCCCGGGACAAAAAAAAAAGAAAAGGTGTTGGAGTACTAGTCATCCGAGGTCCCTGCCTTCTGCGGCTGTCCCTGTGTACAAGCCACATCTGGCCTCAAAAGCAGGCTGGGCTCCGGCACAACAGTCCGAGCAGCCAAGGCTTAAAGCAGCCTTTGCCTCGCGAGGATGCCAGCAGCCACCGTAATGAACTAAACCTGCTGAAATATCGCTGTTCCGTCACCACAGGCTTGCAAATCCCCCTCTGCAGCTGAATGCATTTTTTATCTGTTACCGCTCCAGAGGTGGGTACTGGGAATTGTCTGTGCTAATCTGCAAATAATTCGCAAATTCCTCCCCATTTTTCAGTCCTACGCAGAGGCGTTCGCGGTGCCTGTGAAGTGGGTACCAGGCGGTAAATCACGTTGCTATGGGAACACAAATGCCGGACCCCACTACCGTGACATCCTTATTGCCTAGAGCGCCGTACATGGGAGGCCTGAGAAGCATCCCCCGTGATTCTTAGGGTTTAACTGGAAAATTAAAAAGCAACAAGTCCCTCATGGGATTAAAATCAGTGTTTGCTATTTTGGGAGCATGGAAAAGCAGGGGCAGGATCTGGCTGTGTCGCGTCTGAGAAACCAGCAATGTTACGACTGGGAATGCTGATGGAGGAAGGATGCTCTGCTGAAGCTCTGCAGGCTCAGCCCCAACGCTCTCCCTGTGGGGAAGAGGCACAGACAGGGGCTGGTAGCACCATCAGGGATCTGGGGGTAAGGCTTCCGATACTCCAGCCTCCCAGCCTGGCTACACAGACCAAGCCCCATGCCTGGATATGTCCCGTTTGTGAGCCTACCTTGGTAACCCCATCAGCCTCCTCCCCAGGATGTGCTGGTCAGGATGCTTTGACTCTGGAGCAGGGGACGATGCCTGCAGACGGTGGAGCTGGGAGCCACCTGGAAACAGAAGCTGCGATGCTAGCAGGTCCATTCACCTCGTCCTGAGCTCTGTTGGGGTCAACACCAGCAGGACAGACAGTGGCATCTAGGAACACCTTGAAACCCCCCTGTCCCCAAAGGGTGGTTTCCCCTCCATGTTGCAGGGATCACTGGTAGAGCTGGAAGGCTGGCAGCCCCAGCAGGCAATCTTTGCAGGATGAGGCTGGTGCACACGCAGGCTGGGAGAAACCAGCCAGGCAGGAATGAGACAACACGACCCGCGGAGAGCTGGTGCCAGACTAGGTGTGTGCCAGCATCAGAGCATCAGCAACGGGGCAGAGCCCCGACAGGACTCCTACTTCCTCCCGGTGCTCAGAGAGGGGGTCTCAGCCAGGGACGTGGAAAGCTGCCGCACCAGCTAAGCGCTTACCTACCTGGGGAGACCAATCCGAGCCAAAACCCAATTCTGCCACCCCAAAGCCTGCTTAGAGCTTTTGGCAGAGCAGCTGACAGCACCATAACCCCGCCTCTGTGTCTTGACCTATATTGGAGTACCTTTTAGCAGTGGGAAGTTCTGGTTCTTATTTCAACAGCCCCTCTGGGGGAGAATATCCCTCTTCTCAAGCCTTCTCACTTTGGCTTTCTGTTGGTCAGTCTCCTCACGGCTCTTTTGCTTCGGGCAAAGCCAGGGCCCTAGCTCCACCTGGGAGACGATTTGGCAGAGCATTTCAGCCCTTTCCTCATCCCGGTCTCTCCTGCTCCCATGGCCTCATTCTTCAGTAAAGGCTTGGGATCCAGATCTTACATCAGGGCATGGTTGCACCACCACCATTCTGTTCCCGAGATTACAGCTGGATGAACTTGTCTGGCTGGCCGCTGTTTCAGGTCACAACATCTTTGGTGGCAATACTGACCAACAATATCCCCATCCCCTGGCAGCTCCTTCCCGCGTCTGTGCTGCATCACCGAGCCCTCAGGACAGGCACATAACTGTTTGTGGGGCTGCACCATGAGTCACATCAGAGAACAGCAAAAACCCCCAAAAATGCTGTTTTTAAGACATGATCCATTCCCTGGCCCTGTCACAGTATGGCCTGCAGGGCATGTCTTTATTAAAGTCATTGCATTTACTGGGATCTGAAGCCTGGCATGCTCTTGCCAATCCATTGAAAGACTGGTTGGACTAATCCCCTCTTGCCTAAGAGGGAACTATCGCTGCAAAACCAGGCTGAGATCAGGGAAGCCAGGCATAGAGGACAGGGACAAAGTGATGTGCCCACCAGGTGCAGGCCACGCGAGGGTGCTCGCTGCAGCATCCTTCGGCGGAGGGGCACCCTGGGCTGGGAAATCACGCTGGGCAGAGGGCAGCTGCTGCCACAGGGCCACCTTATTTGCTTCATGCACCCCAGAGCCGCGCCACTTGGGTGTCTGAGCATAATCAGGCTTAAATAGCAAAGGTGAGCTGCTGCATTTGTCCCTGCACAGCCTCTCTCTTTGGAGCCGGTAGCACACGGGAGGGAACCAGGCAGAAGCCAAACAGCAGCAGCTCATCTTCCCCTCTCTGTCCCTTGGCTGCAGACTGAGGCATCCAAGGTGTTTTCCAAGAACTCATTTTTCACCTGCTTTGCTGCAGTCTGCAGGGTTGTGCAAGCCTCCGATTGTCCGTGCCCCACTCTCCCTTCACCGGAATTTAAAACTACTTTCCCCACCCTCACCAAAAACTTAACAGTGCCCTGTCTGACAGGAACAACTAATGAAGGGAAAAGGTTGATTAAAGATTGTAAAAACCACTGTAGCATGGAGAGAGAGTTAAGTGTCGACACTCTTCCAGTACAAATGTCAGGGCATCAGATGAAACAAGAAGGAGCAAAGTCCAGAGCAGAGGGAGGGGTTTGGTTTTTTTCCTCCTGTCTGTCTCCCTTGCGACCCCAGGGTACCATAAATATTGGGCATTACCTGAGTTCAAGAGGAGGCTGCACATGCTCATGGAGCAGCAGTCCCTCCAGGATCCCTAAACACGAAGCCATATTTGGCTCAGGAATACCCCAAAGTGGAGAGCAGGAGTGTATGGGAGAAGGTTTCAGACAAGCCTGCTCTTACCCTCCTCCCTGGGCATCCCCTCATGGCTGCTGGGAGAGGAAAACTGGGCCAGGTGGATCTTGATTTTATCTACATGGGCTCTCTTTTTTGATGTACTGCAAGTATGACCAATGATACACCCCAGAGCACCTAAACGCCAAGCAGGCTTTGCTGATGGCCAGGTTTCTGTGTCCCACAGAACACTGCTCACCTGCACTCACCTCCCGGAGCGGGGCAGCTTGATCCCGATCCCCCGGCGGGCTCTGATCCAGGACATCACGATGCCATCCAAACATTTGCAGGGAGAGGTTTGCTCCGTGTCCAGATGCGGGATCTCCCAGGGAGCCCGCTGAAGCCTTCGCTGGTTTTCTCTTCCGCAGGATGAAATTCTGTTGACTCCCTGGAGGGATTTTCCTGTTGAAGACACGGACCCATTTGCCCCCCTGGTAAGCTTTGCTCCCTCTGCACTCACAGCGAGTTCAGCACAGCTCAAAGAGGGGAGCAGGGCAGTGTCAAGGCAGCAGCTGCCTCAGTTTCCCCATGCCCATTCTCCTGCTCACCCTCAGTTCCCAGGGGCCCTCTACACAGTCACGATGAAGGTCCAAACCTCTGAGAGGCTGGAGCCGAGAGGGAGAGCTCTCGGCTTGCCACTCCCATAAATTCCCTGGTGTTTTCTGTGGGCAGGATGAAGAGAAGTGGGATTTCGTCCTGGTAAGCAACATCCACGAAGTGGGCAGTGAGAAGGAGATCAAGAGGAAGAAGTTCCTGGACGAGCTGAGCAAGAAGGGGTTCACTATCAAGGTGAGGGGCTGTAGGAGGAAAAGGCAGTGGATACTTGGCTATCTTGTGGTACCCAGGATCCAAGCCTAGTCTGGGCTTCTGCATCCCAGGAGATGGGAGAGACCTGAACCATTGAGCTGATCACCATATCAGTGCTGGAAAATAAACCACTTGCTCAACCAGGGGAGACCCCAGACCCAGGACTCCTATAGCCCTGGGCCCTTGCAGCTCTGGCGCCTTTCCCTGCCCCTCTGGCTCTGCCAGCATTGTTCTAACAGCCCTTCTCTTCCACCCACTAGAAAATTGAGGACAAGAAGCTATTTTATGGAGTCCGTGCCCCAAAACAGATCTTCCGGAAATACCAGTGGCTCCTGAGGAACCCCGACAGCAGGCTGCAAAACCCCGATGTCCATCATGACATACCAGTGACCACCAGGTGGGTGCTGAGCCGGGCCACTGACTTCCAGCATCTTGCACTCCCCTTTCTCCACACCAGCATCCATTTTGCAGCTCACCTCACAGTTGTGTCAGGCTTTTCATTTTCCGCAGAAGGCCACCTCCACCTACCACGTGCAAAGTTGACGGCTTCTCACTGTCCTCAGCCAGCTCCCCACTTCTTCCCCCCGTCCTTCCCTGGATTTTGGTGCACACCTTCTCCCTTTCCTCCCCTGCTTTCCAGGCCCACACCACACAAGTCTGTATCCCCAGAGCAGCTTTTAACCACAGTTTCTCCTTGCTCAGGATACGGATCGTGAACTTCATCCTGCAGAACACGACGACACCTGACCTCGGTAAGGGAACGGGGCCAGCAGGGGTGATGCTCAGCCTGGATCTGCAGCAGGGCTCCTGCCCCGTGGCAGGCACAGGCATCCCCAGCTGCCTCGCCACCCCCGGGGAGGATGCAGAAGCGGGGAGAAAGCCAGGGTGCAGCTCAGACAAGTAAATTTGCTGCTGCACCCAGAGGCTGGGAGATTTGGACTGCAGGAACCAGCAACAGCCCTCTATTCCCTCTCCCCAGGCCCCTGACCTCAGCTGCCCACTGCCGCTCTCCTGTGTCCCCAGAAGAGCTCGTCCCTCTCTGACACCCTGGGATGAGCAGGGCAGCTGTCTCTAAGGACCTGCCTACCTGGCTTGCTCCCAGAGCCAGCCACAACGCAGCCTGCAGCAGCCCAGCAGAGTAGCACAACCACAAGGATTAGTGCTGATCCCTTTTGAATTGCTCAGCCTCTTGCAGGCATGTTTTTTGCCCGCCTCAAAGGCTCCAGAAAAGGTTTGGGGTGATTCTGCCTAGCAGGGAGCACATGGGGCGAGAGCAAAGCTTCACTAATCTTCTCCGTTCTGCTCTGCTACCAGAGAAGCTGCCCGACCTGATGAAGAAGAAGGTCTTTGAGGCAACGTTTCCCCTGCACGAGGTGAGGCTCAGCTCTCCGGTGCCTGGGAGGAAAAGCCACGGGAGGCAAAGGAGCAAGACCGGGTGGGGGAGACCTTTGGGTAACTGGGGCTGCATCAAGACCTCTCTGGATGAAGGGCATGACAAAGCTCCCGACAGCAGCCTGGGGGCTGGGCTGAGGATTAAGGTTGCCCTAATATTCCTGTATCCAACCAACTTCTCTCCTCTCCAGAAAGAAGAGGTAAGGGAATTCCTAAAGGAGAAATGGGCTCGCTGGAGAGATATATTTTGCCAACAGCCGATTGAGAAGATCAGGTAACACAGGCAGAAGAGGCACGGCAAATCCTTCTAACCAAGAGGTCCCATCTGAAACCCAGAGAGCTTTATGCCCTTTGCCAGGCTCCTGTGTTTTCTTTTAAATCATTAGTTTGAATCTGGCTCTTCTCACACATATTGGGCTTCTTCTGAAGCCTCCAAAGTTCTTACCCTAAGGGGGATCCCTGTGGCACCGAGCTCTATCTAATCATTTTGCAGCATGAAACAACCCCCGCATCTGCATGGTTTTTAATTAGCCCGTTACATTTTCAACCACGCACTCCCACGTTCAAAAGGAAGGTGAGGTGGGAACAGAACATCGGTGCAGCACATCCAGCCCGAGGCTGAACTTGGGGCATTAAAGGCAACAAGGGGCTCCTATAACCACGTTAAAACTCAGGGAAGAGCACAGCTCTTATTTTAAAGGGGGAAGAAAATGAACACTCCGTGGCCAGGGGAAGGAGGGCAAAAAGAACATGCTACTTCATAAAGTTGTCAGTGGAGATGAAATGTTAAAATGGAGATGTGCTCTACTTCCTTAAATGTTTATTACAGTTTACAAGTCTAGCAGAGGCACTAGGGACCCTTGATGCACAAGGTCAGACAACTCATCATTTCTAAGGTCAATGCATCATGACTTCTTGTTATCGCAGAAGGATTAAGGGGCTGAGTATGAAATTGGGCGGCGGGGAGGAGTGTTGAAGTTTTTTGTTTGTTTTAAACAAAGGCCAGGGAGCACATCACCACCTTTGACTGCTGGTAGAAAGTTAATTCCTCTGGAATACAGGAGGGGAGGCAGGTCCATCAGTAATTACCATCATTTCTTACCCATGCCTCCAACCTTCTTCCCCACACCAGAAAAACTGAGATACTGCCACCATGTGAAAGCACTTCAGGGAGATAGCTGAGCCCAGAAGAAGAAATTGCTCTGGTCTGAGAAACACCACACCCTGCAGCCCCCTCATCTTCTTCGAGCCCAGCATTTCTATAATTGTTCTGTAGACACTGATTGCAACTTGGTCTCTCAACCGTTCCCACCCCTCTTACCTGGCATACGGTCAATCTGACCACACAGAGGCATCTCCCCTTGAGTTACACCCTCTGGGCTCCCTTCATGGAAAGGCAGAAGCAGTGCTTGTGGGACCATGTCCACTTCATACAGAAGCGAGCATCAGCGAGAGTGTCTCTCCTTCTGGCATATTAACCAAGGGGGGAAAGGGAAAGAAAAGAAAAAAAAAAAAAAAAAAAGAAGTAAAACCTTACTCCTTACTTTGCATCAGTCACGAGGTTGACTAAGAACAGGAGAAGCCTTCTCACAGGCTTCTCTAAATCCCTGCAGGCAGCGTGCCCTACACCACGCAACGTAGACCAAGCCAGCCCCCACAGCAGCCTGCTGTTGCTCTCCATCCTGCGCTCACCTCTCAGCCGGAGCTGTGCTCTCAGCACGTCTTTGCTCTGCAGCCCCACAGCCTCCACAATGCACTTCACTGCATTCCCATGCAGTCAGAGCGCAAGGAGAGCCAGCTATCTCTCCTTGCACGTGCTGCTGCTGAAATCTCCTGGGAAACACTGCATGCCTGTGGTTCCTCCAGCTCCTCTACTCAGTTGGGCTGACTCTTCCAATCCCAACAAAATCCCCAGACATGCAGACAGTACTGCCCCTCCTGGGCTCATATCCCTTTGGGGTGGAAGAGCATTTTCTAGTGACCCCTAGCAATATTGTCTCCTCCACTGGTCCCAAAGCACATCTCATCTTTCCTTCCAGGTGCTATTTTGGTGAGAAGGTGGCCCTGTACTTTGCGTGGCTGGGCTGGTACACCTACCTGCTGGGAATAGCTGCAGTGGCCGGGCTGGTGGTCTTCGTGGCTGGGATTACTGTTTTCAATTCCAGCCAGGTGAGGTTTTTTTTTAGTTGGTAATGCCGAATGCGCATCCCGTTCACGAGCCTTTGCTATACATGTGGCTTTGAGCCACTGTTATTCCCCTTTGCTTCCCTCTACACCTTCCTCTCTAGCAAGGAGATCTGTGAAGCCAGTAACACCATCATGTGCCCGCTCTGTGACCAGAAGTGCCCGTTCTGGCTGCTCTCCGACACCTGCACCTACGCCAAGGTAGGCAGCCCCCTTCCCCAGACAGGCTCAAGGCAAAGGATGGGGAAACTCTCCCAGCTTGTGCTGTTCCCACACAACTAGAAAGAAAAGCCACCCCAGCCAGCTGGCTACAACATGCAGGAAACCTCCACTAACCTCTGTAACAAGGAGGAGATACAGCCAGATCACGGTCTCCATCGCCACCAAGGAAGAATTTACCACTAATAAGTCCCAGTGTCCATCCCCTTCCTGCATTTTGCCCTCCTGCAGCATCTTTACCAGTCTCAGGGGGGGCCGCTGAGCGCAGAGGCCTCTCCCCAGACCCCGAGGTGCCACAGGCCCCTGCACCCCGCTGCCCCCATCACACTCTTCCTTGATCTTCTCCAGGTCACTCACATGATTGACAACGAGGGGACAGTGTTGTTTGCCATGTTCATGGCGATCTGGGGTAGGTGTCAATGTCTTGGTGCTGAGCACACACAGCTTGGAAGAGGGAGCAGCCCACTGTGGCTTAGGGGGAGAAGAGGTAGAGGAAAATGGGACACTAACACAGCTTCACCATTCGGGAGCTTTTTAGTCCTTATCTCCTCCACTTCCAAGGCCATCAGCTCCCCTTCCAGACAAGGCAAGGCACAAAATCACCCCAGCAATTTCCTTCAGCTCCCCAAAAGCTCCTGACCTGACCTGTCCTGCCCTGCCTGAGAGCTTTTACCCCTTCACCCACCACAACCTCCCGCAAAGCACCCAACAGCCTCTCTAGCTGGGCTTTTCTAGCAGCTGCCTGTAAGTAGTCGCAGCTGCCGGAAGGAGGGACCACCAGATCCCTCATTAACCTTCCCTGATTGCTGCATGATCTCTTAGCTGCTGTGGAAAAAGCACAGTAGACCACGGGGCTCTGAGCTGATGTGATCCCATCACCACATTAGCTACACATCGGCTTTACTACAGCCCTTTCAGTTACGAATACCACCGCATGTGTGGGCTGGGCATTTCACCTGCGAGACCATGGTCTGAGCAGGTCATGGACATGGTCTTGTGTGTCGCTGTGGGCTGGTTTACACAGGGACAAGCTCAGGAAGCTCAATCCAGATTAACAGATGGGGTGGTTGTAAATGGATTTGCAGAGGTGTAGCCATGCTGGGGTGCAGTGCAGGATACCTATTCCACTTGAAAGGTGTATTTTTCATTAAGCCAGAATTATGTGTCTGGCTGGCGCCATGTAAACATGCCCACCACAGCAGAACAGCCATGGTACTTACCCTGGTTTATGCCAAATCCCCTACAGACACTAGAGCTGGCCTGACTCCCAGTGAAAACTCACCCGCACACCTCCATCCCCATACCTACGTGGGGCAGAGCACTCATTGCTGCATTTCCTTCCCGGTCGCCGAGATGCAGAGGTGGCTGCCTGTCCTTCATGGGCCAAGGGTAGTTCGGGCTGATTTGTCATCAGGGTGGATGGTAACACGACTATCCATCCTGCTCTGTGGGATGGAGGGGTGACTTTGTCTCCAGAGCCATCCCTGAGTGTCATGACACTCTCTCCTTCCCCCCATAGCCACTGTGTTCCTGGAGCTGTGGAAGAGGCAGAGAGCCACCGTGGTCACCAACTGGGACCTGTACAGGTGGGATGAGGAAGAGGTGAGGATGTCATCTTTCCTGCTCAGTGCTTCCCTTTTCAGGGCAGTAGTCAGCTGGACCTACAGAAAAGACACATCACAGTGACTCCCTCGCCCAGCTTGATTCTCTGTAGATGTAAACATCTAACGGAGACACTTAAACAAACAGCAAAGCCAACATCTGACAGTCCTGGGAGAGACAGAGCTCTTCAGAGAGCTAAGCAGATGCTTAGCATTGCTAGTCACCTCTCTGCATTGCTAGTCACCTCTCCACCTGCACAAGGGCTTGAACTCAAATCAGGATTGGCCACGCTGTTGTGGGTTGGGTTGGGTGTTCATGCCTGTCCTTCTCTGGTGCTGTTCATCCCATATGTCCATTAACACAATGACCCCTGGACTTTCCACTACCTGGGCACAGCTCTGCTGGATCTGTTCTTTCCCGTTTTTTGACGTTTTTTTGTTTTTTTTTTTTTTTTTTTTTTTTTTAAGGAGGAGCTGGCTATGGGGCTGATCAATAATCTGCAGCATGAACCCCAGCAGTACCAGCACTCCTACTTCCGCAGCACCATCATACTCCTCTTGGTTCTGGTGATGGTATGTGCCAGGGTGAACATAGGAAGATCTGGTTTAAGGGCACGTGGGCTTTCCTCCTTCCCTCCCTACTGCACTGCAAGAACAGCATCTCGGAGTGTCCTATTGCTGGAGCAAAGACAGAAACCAGGTTGTTAGAGCAGGTCCATGTCCATCACAAGGATCCAGGAGCCTCCCTACGCTCACACCTCGCTGTGCTGATGGGAGAGGTCAACCACCCTTTGGGGATCTGGGCAGAAGGCTCTGCTCTTGCAGCAGAAGGCAGTGAGGATCAAGGCAGTTACACAGAGGGTAGGAAGAGGCAAATCCTTGATGTCCTCGTTTCTCCCTATGGGCCAATGGAGAGAGTCTAGACGAGTAGTTCAGGTGGAGACATCCACCTTATGACCCTCTCATCCTTAACTGAAGAGCACTGGCTTGCATTTGAGGCCACGTGCAGATGAGCTCTGGTGAAGGGAGACAGGATTTGAAGGGCTGGCGGTCCTCAGGCGGGATGGAGCACATGCCCTCCGTGCATGGCTTCTCACCGCCACGTTGCCCTTCTCCACAGATTGCCGTGCTGATCGGCATCGCCCACGCGCTCGTCATTTACCGGGTGATAGCAACAGCTCTCTTCAGCCAGAGCAACTCTGAGTTCCTCCGCGATCAGGCCAATACGATGGCGGTGATGACGGGGGCCGTGCTGCACTACATCACCATTGTCATCCTGACCAAGGTGCGGAGTGAGACACGGGGTGGGCAGCGGGTCTTCTCCTTGCTTTTCCACCATCAACCCTCCCCTCTCATTTTATACCTGTCTCCTGCAGGTCAACAGACATGTGGCCCTCTATCTCTGTGACCTAGGTAAGGAAAACTAGGGGCTGTCTCCCACCTGCACCTGCACCGCCAAGCTGCCCAGCAGTACCCAGGGACTGCAGCACAGCACCCCTTGGTCCCCAAATGCAGCCAGGCTCCTGGCCCCTTCCCTTCCTCCACCATCACAAAGCATCTACTGGGCAGCTCTTGCCATGCAGGTCCCCATGAGAGGCCAGCAGCCCTCCAACACACAAGCTCATCTGTGGCCCACATGCTGCCAGTTGGCTGTCCCACAGCCACATTACACTTTGGAGGGACAATCATCCTACAGGGCTGAGACCCAGCATGAGCAGGAAGCCACCACACCTGCAGGAGAGCTCACAACATGGTTTTCCTCTCAGCTGAAGGGCCCCTTCTCCCCCAGCTCATGGGTCTGATGGACCTCCCTGCTTAGCTGGGCTCAGCTCCATCGAAGGGCTCAGATGAAGGGCAGGGAATGCTCCACAAAGGGCAGAGACACCCTTCCAACCTTCAAAGAGCTGCTCTGGCATCCAAGGGGGAGCAGGGCAAGGTCCCACCGCTCTGTGACCAAGCCCCTGGACCTTGCTCCCTTCCCCAGAGAAACCACGGACCTTCTCCCAGCGTGAGAACAACTTTACCGTGAAGATCTTCACCTTCCAGTTCTTCACAAACTTCTCTTCACTCATCTACATTGCCTTTTTCCTGGGACGGTGAGTGGTAGCTGGGAGTCCGGGGGGAGCAGAGGGGAGCCTGGGTTTAGGGCATACATCCCCAACTTTCCCCAGGATCTAAGGACAGCCCAGTCCCTCTACTCCCCCTGACAGGCACAGGGACCCCCTTTGGGACCTCAGGAGGGCCATGACTTTTCCCTGTGGGCACGGTGGGTAGGGGAAGTCCCTTGCCTCTCCATCAGTGCCCAGAGGATGATGTCCTCCATCCTGCACCTGGATGTTCATTCAACGGGGGTCAGCAGTGGGGCTCAACAGATATTTCTGTTGTTGCTTCCTTGCTCAGGATCAACGGCCACCCAGGGAACTACGTGCGCATTGCTGGCAAGTGGAGGCTGGAGGAGGTGAGGGACTTGCCGTGAAGCTCTGTGACCCTACACCACAACTCCTACTCCTCCTTTCCCTGCTGCCCAGCAAGGCTCTGGGAATCTCAGCTTCCTCCTACAGTACCTGCCTTGGCCAAACAGCCCCTCGGGCCAGGCCGCCCTGCTTGCAGGCACAAATCCTCTCCTCTCGTCCCTTTGCAGTGCCACCCCAGCGGCTGCATCACTGACCTCTTCATCCAGATGGCCATCATTATGCTGCTCAAGCAGACCATCAGCAACGTGATGGAGTATCTCGTCCCGTAAGCTTTCCTCCAGCCCACGGAGTGCTCACTGGTGCTCCTGTGCATCAGGACAGCTTCCCAGCTCTTACAGAGAGTAACCCTGGACTTTGGGCCAAGATTTCCTCCTTTTCCTTCCTCAGGTTTCCAGGGCTGTCACTGGCAGCAGTTCAGCCCTGCTGTCCTCTGCAGGCAGCTGTACAAATCGCTCCCTCCCCTTGCAGCTGGATAGCCCACAAGCTACGCAAGCAGCAGCACCCCAGGAAAAGAAGCATGATGTTAGGAGAGGAGGAGGAGGCCGAGGACCCCTGCAAAAGGCAGTGGCTGAGCAACTATCAACTCAACGAGGTCAACACCTTCAGCTTGTTTGACGAGTTCTTGGAGATGGGTATGTAGGGCAGGGGGTCGAGCGAGGAGGGATGCTGGGTGCAGAGCCATGGGCCCTCCTCGGCCGGAGAGAGCCTGATGCTGGGGAGCCCATACGTAGGCAAGGGAGAGCTCCAAGACCCAGCTCCATGCCCAGCCCTGCTCCAAGAGCTCTGGCACACCAAGGAGATCATTTCCAAAACAAGGGAGAGCAGGAAACTGTGCTGGCCTTGGGCCCCTGCCTAGGACCTTCCTCTCCTCCCAGGTGTGTCAAGCTGATGGCTGTAACCCCAGGGAGGTCCCTCTGCCTGGCTGGCTCAGCCAGTGCCCTGTGGGGCCCCCACAGATCCCCCTCTCCAACAGCCCTGTGAGAGGTGGGTGTCCCCTGTGAGGGTGTGGGGTCCCCAAGACAGGTCTATCTCCTCCTTTCACCCCTGCAAAGCCCCTCTGACACAAGCCACAAAGCAGGACAAACGCAGACAGCGGTCAGATCCCCTCTGCGGTGGCTTCACACCAGCACCTGGCATTTTCCCCCTCTGCAGTGATCCAGTACAGCTTCACCACCATTTTTGTCGCTGCCTTTCCCCTTGCCCCACTGCTGGCGTTCTGCAACAACCTCTTCGAGATCCGCCTGGATGCCATCAAGATGATGCGGCTGCGCCGGCGCATGGTGCCCAGGAAGGCCAACGACATCGGTGAGATGGGGCCTGAGGAGCACCCTCCTTCCAGCGCTGCTGCTTGTGCGAACGGTGCTGGCGTTAAGCCCTTTCCCCAGCACGAAGCCCTTGAGCATCCCTTTGCCAGGGACTGGTATCACTTCACCGCAGAGGTAGGAGAGCACAGGGAGAGCTGTGGGTTGGGGAAGGAGAAGCAATTTCAGACCCTGCAGAGGCTGAGGGGCAGCTTGGAGGCCTCCTTCCTTGAACTCCTCTGGCTATGCCAAACCTATCCCTGAGCTGGGGCTTGGTCTGCAACCCTTGAACAGCAGCAGTGAGCTGTCAGAGGGGCCTCATTGACCGCTCCTCTCCTACAGGAATTTGGCTGCAGGTCCTGGAGGCCATCGGCATCCTGGCTGTCATCGGGAATGGACTGGTGATCGCCATCACATCCGACTTCATTCCCATGCAGGTCTACAAGTACATGTACAGCCCCTGCATGACGGAAAACAGCACTGGCGTGGAGTGAGTGCTGCCAGTTGGCTGCTCGCAGCCCTGCCTGCAGTGTCCCTGCCTACCTCAGTGCCACCCGTGCAGAAGGACGAGGCAGCTGAGCGGTCCCCCACAGTGGGGTGGAGGGAAAGGGCAGCAGGGGAGGGTTTTCCAGATGGCACTACCTTCAGCATCCCAGCCGGCCTCCCACTCACATCTTCCCCGTGGTGGGTAAACCGGTATCCCTGAATGGAAAGAGCACCATGTAACGTTGGAGAGCTGCAGGACTGCCTGGGTGCCTGCTCATGCTCTCTCCTGCCCTCCCCCTCTTCCTCCAAGCCTTGGCTCACTGGCCACGTTCAGTCAAACTGGACAGAAGTCTCGGAGACATTCATTTCCCACAGGCTTTGTGAAAATGGGTAGCTAGGGAGGCGAGGGAGAGCCCCAGATGGGTGCTGGCTTCCCCAGAATGCGAGGCTACAGTCTGTGCTCAACCATACTACTAGTCACCTGAGAATCCACACACCAGGGAAACTGTAGAAATGAAAGCTGCAGACAGATAGGCTTTGTAGCAATCAGAGGCCTTTGAGTCCCCTAGAAGACACAAGAGCTGCAGCTTTCGGTTAGGGCATGCCACAACCCCCCAGCGTGGCCATGAACCAGGAGCACCCCCCGTCATCGCCGGGCCAAAGTGCGCAGACATGATCTTTCCCCCCCGCAGCTGCTCGACCGGCTACATCAACCACAGCCTCTCCGTCTTCCGCATTCAGGACTTCGAGCCGCACACAAAGGTGCCCGAAATGCTGCCAGACTTTGTCAGGGATGAGATCAAGGAGTGCAGGTAACAGCAGCCCACGGCCATTGCTCAGCAGCATTCCCCTCTCCCAAGCCCTGCGCAGACATGATCTTTCCCCCCCGCAGCTGCTCGACCGGCTACATCAACCACAGCCTCTCCGTCTTCCGCATTCAGGACTTCGAGCCGCACACAAAGGTGCCCGAAATGCTGCCAGACTTTGTCAGGGATGAGATCAAGGAGTGCAGGTAACAGCAGCCCACGGCCATTGCTCAGCAGCATTCCCCTCTCCCAAGCCCCTCGCCG